CTGCATTCTCTGATGCTTCACCTCTTCTCCTGTGCTCAGCCCATACAAGATTCAAGCTCTGAATAGACGCAGCTCTGCTTTCTCAGTGTGACCTTCCTCTCTTCCAGGACTAACCACTTGAATTTTATTCCTGATCACATCCTTTCTTCCCTTGACCATTTTTGCCTTCAATTATCCCACTATGTTGCTAAATTCAGTAAGCCATTTTCAGTCCTTATTAGACTTTTCTATAGCATTGGACACTGTTGCTTCCCCTAAGTTCTACTTAGAAAATAACTTCTTCCCTTATGGACAAATTACCTGTGTTTATTATCTAAAATTTACAAACTAGGAACAATAATTTTAAAATTCTCATAGCCAAGAAATTCAAAGGAAACTATTATGGTCATAATTTTTCCAGGATCCTTCAATGTATATAATATGCTTTTGTATAACCACAGGCATGTACACCATTATCATTTAATGTATTAAATATTTTCCATATGAGTAACTGTTCTTGTATAGCATGATTTTAATTAGATGCATAATATTCTGTTGTATGAATGTACTATTATTTACTTAACCACCTCCCTCCAGTTGAATATTCGTGTTATTCTAATAAATCACTAAGATAAATAATGCCATGGTTCACACTTTTACATGTAAAGCTATGTGCATAGCTTTGATAATTATCACAGGATAAATTCCTAGATATGAAATTGACAGGTCAAAGAGTAGGTATTTATACTTTTTAGGCTCTAGATACACATCAATAAACCTATTTCCAGAAAGGTTGCAGAAATCTGTTCACACATTATAGATGCAGTAAAGCCTTCAGGTTAAGAGCATGAGCTTTGGAGATCTTGTCCATCCCTGTCACTGATGTCAACTTTTTCTTCTAGCACCAAATATTGTGTTCCCCAATGTTCAATTTTTAGTCTTTTTGTTGGACAAGTTCTCTCTTGCAATAACCATGCAATTAACTTAAATCTTACCCATGCAATTAACACAGAGGACTGATGACTCCAAGATTAGTATCTCCAGCCCCTCCCACTTGTAACGTGTGTCCATTTGGAGTTCGTATCATTTCCCTCAAATTTCCTGTGTTCCGCACTTCAAGGAACTCTTCCACATTTACTCAAGCCAGAAACCTCAATCTTATCTATCCTCCATGGGTATGGGAGAGTGCATACTCCCACTTTCCCAGAATAAAGAAAAACTCTTTGGGGGAACTGTAGTGCTTTAAAAGTGATGGGTAAACAAAATTCTCTTTTATTTAACTGGCGAACAGCCTAAGGTTTGTTTTTCTCACCACCAGCTTCTAAATTGTCTTTCTTACTGCATGTTCCTTTTCTTCTTGCCCATTGTGACCTGTCCCTCAGCTGCCCAGATTTCGTAGGAGAGGTTAGACAGGGGCTACTGTTGTCCCAGAGTTGGCAGAGACAATTGTGTTTACTACTTGGTGCTGCCTGAGGCCCAGTGGTCCGTACAATATGTGACCCTCCCTCAGCAAAACAAAGCAGACCCAGCCATCCTAGTGCTGCTATGGCTAGCCTGAGTCTATAGATTATACCTCTCTAAAATTGGCTTTCTTCTCTTCATGCTTACTGGTATTGCCTTAATTCAGATTTTATCCTTAGGGAGAGGAAGAAAACCAGTTTGTTTTCTTGGAAGATAACTTTGATGGATGTGTTTGCCTTTGGCTGTGCTCCTTTGAGCCAGTCTCTCTCATTCAAGGCAGTTAATCTCTGTAAGTCTCATCTGATAAGAGAGGATGATAACAGTACCTACTTCATGGGGTGGTTGTAAAAAGTATAAAATAATGCATAAGAAAGTGCTGAGCGGAGTGCCAGACACAGAGTGAGCATCCAACAAATGTGAGCTTATCATCATCATCGTTGTCTTTGAAGACTCACTGTAAAGGATCTCAAGCTGCTCCTGATTTCTCTAAACAGAGTTCGTTGTCTTTCCAATAGTGTTTGAACGTCCTCTACTTGGACACTTATTTTATCTCAATATTTCTATCTTTCCTAGACTGTGAGTAGCTCAAGGGTAATGACTATTTGAATTCATTTTTCTATCCTCAACACTAAGCAATGTGTCTGGTGCATAGGAGGTGGTAAATAAATATTTTTTGGAAGAGTACACTGGACGAATGATTTATGCTTATGTTTTTGTTTCTGCATCTGGAATTCTCAAATATCAATCGATGTAATTCACTCTGTTAACAAACTAAAAAAGGAAAAATCACATCATCTAAAATTACATGACTAAAAGGTATAAGAATTAAGGGATAAGATGACGTGATCATGTGGCAAGAAAACCCAAAACACTTTACAGGTAAGATATTAAAGTTAATAATTGAATGTAGCAAGATTGATGGAAACAAATTTAATATTAAAAAGTCAATTATATTTTTATGTACCAATTACAAGCATTAGAAAATAAAATACTGATGTCATTTACAATAACATGAAGTTTTTAAACGTCAAGATACAAATATAACAAATTATGTGTAAGAACACTACATGGGAAAACACCAAACTTTGCTAAGAGAAATTTTAAGAGCCTTAAAAAAATTAAGAGATATTTATGGATTGAAAGACTCAGTTTTGTATATGTGTCAATTCTCCCCCAAATTGTTAGATTCAAAAAATACCAATAAAAATCCCAGGAATGTATACGTATGTGTATAAACTGCAAATTGATTCTAAAATTTTCATGTAAATGCCAGAGGTCAAAAATAGTCAAGACAATCTTGAAGAAGTACAAAGTTGGAGGATTTGCACTACCAGATACTGAGCCTTATTACACAACCGTGTTATTTAAGACAGTATGGTACTGGCATAAGGGCAGATACCTAGATCAATGGAATAGAACAGAGAGTTCAGAAACAGATCCAAATATATATGGACAGTTGATTAATGAAAGCGATGGCACAGTAGAGTGCTGGGAAGAGGTATTGCTTTTTCCCTCAAAACAGTGCTGGAGCAATTGAATATCCATTTCAAAAAAAAAAAAAAGAAATTTTGACTCCTAGCTCATATTATACATGAAAATCATTTTCAGTTGGATTATAAATTTAAATATGAAAGTTAAAACAATAAAGATTCTAGGAAAAGCATAGAAGAATATCTTCATGAGGTTGGAGTACGGAAAGATTTCTTGAATAAAACCAAAAAAGTACTAACCATAAATTTAACAATTGAAATATTTGACTATATCATATTAGGGACCTCTGAATAAAAAGACACCATTAAAAGAGTGGAAAAACAAGCCATAGAATAAGAAAAATATTTGTAATACATATATCTTGCAGAGGGCTCTTATCCAGAATATAGAAGAAACTTTTACAAGCCAATTTTTAAAAATCAGACAACCCAACAAGAAAAAGTCCAAAGTTCTGAACAGGCGCTTCATGGAAGAGAGTAGAAATAGATGATAAGTATATGAAAAGTTGCTCAACTTCATTAATCATAAGTAGGAAAATTATAAATTTATTGCCCAAATTTGGACACTTTTGAGAATGAAAGGCATATTATTAAATAATTATGTCAGGAAAACAGACTTAAACCGGGATTTATGGTCACCCTAGTCATCAGAGATAATCAAATTACTTTCACAAGGAGATACAACCACATATCTATCAGAATTGTCAAAATTTTTTTTTAAAGCCTGACAGCATCAAATGTTGGTGATGATGTAAATCAACTGGAACTCTCATACACTTCTGGTTAGAAAGTAAATTGGTACAAGTACTTTGCAAAACTTTAAAAGTATATATTTTGAAGCTGAACTTGTGAATAACTCAGCAATTTTATTGTAAGTATATGCCTATCAGAAATGCATATGTGCACTAAGTATGTACAAGAATTTAGGGGCTTGGAGGTGGCTTCTGGGGTGGTGATAATATTCTATGTGTTGATCTTGGTGGTAATTGCATAGATCTGTTCATTTTGTAAAAATCCATTAAGCTGCATACTTACAATTTTGGGGCCTTTCTACATGCATGTTAATCTTCAAAAGACATTGAAAAAGAGAAACTAACATATTGGTACAACGAATAGAAGATATCTGGAAAATTAACTTCTCAAAGAGAAATGTCAAAAAGAAAAAAATCCAAATATAAAATTTAGCTGTGTAAATTAACTTTTAGTTTCAAGTGTTTAAAATATGTGGCTCTTGCCTTCAACAAAGAATATTTTAAAATATATTTTTATCTCAATATCCATGATCCAAAACCTTCATATCTTATTGTTTTCTCCTATTGTATCAGAACACTAGATTGACCTTCCTCACTGAAAATCATGATCATGTTAATTCACTAAGACCCTTTCACTCTTAGTGGTTTCACTCTAGCCATTCAAATATGGACCATTGTTTTTAATATTAAATGGAGTTTGTTACTCAATGTTTGATGTTGATAATCGTACCTCTGTATTTTAAATGTCACCTCCTGACATCTTTTGGGGTACAGAAGGAAAATCTTCAAACCTCTACATCTATCTTACCTTTTTGTATATAGATTTGACAACATACATAATTATTTAGTAATAGTAAAAATATACAGTATTAAAAGTAAATGTAAATATGACAGCATTATAGGCACAAATATTTTTTACTAACAAATGTACCCAGTCAAAGATAAAAATTGATCACTGGTTTAATTGAAATGCTTTGAATACCCAGAGGAGAAACAGTTGCTGGAATTCTTGTCTGGTGGTGTGGTCATGATCAAGATAGTTTTATGTCCAGCTTTCTATGGCTGCAGGGATTGGAGGAGGTCATGTTGGTTTGGGATTTTTTTGGTTGATTCATATGTGGCTTGGGTTTGATTTCTTTAGGATGTTCATTGTGATTAAGGAGGCAGGTGAGTGAGTTTATGCATTACAAAATTAGGTTACAGTGTATAAAATAACTTTTAAAAAGTTATTTTTGAATATCTGTTATGAAGAATGGAAAAAAATGTACATCAAAAATGAATAGTTAATATTCAATTTTAATTCTTTCTTGTTTCCTAGGCGGACCAGATATCTGGTTTTCACATAAGATCTGTTCTCTGTGTCCCTATTTGGAATAGCAACCACCAAATAATTGGTAAGAGATGACCTAAATAGTTAAACTGCTTGAATAAAGAAACAGAAACTTGCTTTAAAATACTCCCACATCGATCTAATTAAACTAAAGAGCTTCTGCACAGCAAAAGAAACTACCATCAGAGTGAACAGGCAACCTACAGAATGGGAGAAAATTTTTGCAATCTACTCATCTGACAAAGGGCTAATATCCAGAACCTACAAAGAACTCAAACAAATTTACAAGAAAAAAACAAACAACCCCATCAAAAAGTGGACAAAAGATATGAACAGACGCTTCTCAAAAGCAGACATTCATACAGCCAACAGACACGTGAAAAAATGCTCATCATCACTCGCCATCAGAGAAATGCAAATCAAAACCATAATGAGATACCATCTCACACCAGTTAGAATGACAATCATTAAAAAATTAGGAAACAACAGATGCTGGAGAGGATGTGGAGAAATAGGAACACTTTTACACTGTTGGTGGGACTGTAAACTAGTTCAGCCATTGTGGAAGACAGTGTGGCAATTCCTCAAGGATCTAGAACTAGAAGTACCATACGACCCAGCCATCCCATTACTGGGGATATACCCAAAGGATTATAAATCATGCTGCTATAAAGACACATGCACACGTATGTTTATTGTGGCACTATTCACAATAGCAAAGACTTGGAATCAACCCAAATGTCCATCAGTGACAGACTGGATTAAGAAAATGTGGCACATATACACCATGGAATACTATGCAGCCTTAGAAAAGGATGAGTTCTGTCCTTTGTAGGGACATGGATGAAGCTGGAAACCATCATTCTTAGCAAACTATCACAAGAACGGAAAACCAAACACCGCATGTTCTCACTCATAAGTGGGAACTGAGCAATGAGATCACTTGGACACAAGAAGGGGAACATCACACACCAGGGCCTATTGTGGGGACGGAGGAGGGGGCGGGATAGCGTTAGGAGATATACCTAATGTAAATTACGAGTTAATGGGTGCAGCACACCAACATGGCACATGTATGCATATGTAACAAACCTGCACGTTGTGCACATGTACCCTAGAACTTAAGTATAATAATAAAAATAAAAAACAAAAAAATAAAGACCACCTAGGACTCTGCTTAAATAAATCACATGGGAAGCTGAAAAAAAAAACAAAGGAAAAATGGCAAGGATAAAAAAAAAAAAAAAAAAAAAGTAATGGCAAAAACTGCAATTACTTTTGCACCAAACTAATACAAAGTCTAATGAAAGTTCCCATCAGTACTTTTGTTTGTAATAACAAAAAACTGCAAACGACCCGTATGTCCATAATAGTAGAATGGATAGATTGAGGCATATAGTCATTCAATAGAATACCAACACAGTAGTGAAAATGAGCATAAATTTTTGCTATACAAACAATGTAGATTAATTACAGGAAAATTAAAAAATAAAAAATAAAAATAAAATACTCCCATATCCTTTTTATGTGTTCCCTCTTTTATGGCCAGGACTCATCAAACTATGTCTCACACTCTTGTATAATTTCATAAGCACAGACTGCTAATGAATCAATACTCTCCACAACTTGAACAAATATTTATTAAGTTGAAAGAACCAATAAATTTTAAAGTTGGAGAGAATCTGAGTTATCAACCAATAGAACTCTTTTATCTCACCCTGTGGAAATAGAGGCAGAGAGAGAGGGAAAAAAAGCCAGAGAGCGAGAGAGAGACAAATGACTTCAAGAAAGCCACAAAGTTAGTAGCAAGGTCAGGAATAAAACTCAGGTTTCCTAACTCCTAGTACAGACTTTCTTACTATGTCAATGTGTTTACATCTGTGCTTTTATACATGGTGTAAAGGAAAAGGAAGAAAGAACATTGTCTATTGGACATAATACTGAGCATGCATTTTCTGCCTGGGCAGTTCTGAAATAGGCCACGTTTTCCTCACAATAAGGGAATCATGGGCAAAAACAGCTTCCAATTTTTCTCTTCCTCCATTCCCCTTTCCTTCTTCTCAAAAAACTCAATTAGGAAAGCATCAAATTCAAGAAAGAAGCCCAGGCAAGGAGAATTCATGGTTGAAATAGAGAAGTCATGAAGGATGGAGGAATTAGTTGAAATTACTGAAACACAATAAAAATGTGACTTTTTTCCCTAAGAGACGTAAGAACACTAATTCATTTGGTAACTGATGCATCTATTTGCCTCTCTCTGCTTCCCCCTAAAATTGCCTGTTAAAGTCTAAGACACTGCTGCTTATTAAAGGATTTAGTATTCTGTGAGTGTTTTTAAGATCTGAATTCTGAGATAATTTTTTTTCATTAGCTTAATCTGCATAAGAATATTGGTATGTTACTGAATATAAAGAATATTCTAAGACTTGGGATCTAAGCCTCTAGTACAAAGACTTAAACTACATCATGCACCAAGTTTTAAATAAATTTATGTTTAAAGGGAAAGTCCATAGGAAACACCATGTGTTACCTGTAATCTCATAGTCTACATTTCAATCCTAAAAGTAAACATCCATTATTACTTCAAAATTAGGACCGTAGTTTGCCTGGTTACATGCTAATAGTTTTGTGTTTCATTATTTTTATATATATCTTCTTGCATAGGATGACTTACCTCCCTGGTGGGAAGTTGGGTGTTTTTAAAAATACAAGCATACTTGAGAATTATAGCTAGTTTTTTTTTGTGTGTGTACTAAATGGGGACACAGGCTAATGGTTTTCAAGATAGTTGATTTTTCTTGTTAAACTTGTGTATTTTGAAAGTCATGCCTTGAAACATCTGGTATAATACTAGAAGTGAACTTTGGAAGAAGTAATCACTTATAAATTAAGTTTTTTAGAACTATATGTACCCCCTGGTAGCAGGAAACAGAACTGACTTTGCTTTGAAGGTCAACTGTATTATATCAACTTTTATTGCTTGTAGTAATTCCTAACATTTCTTGAATGTTTATTCTGAGTGAAGCAAAGCGCTAAATGAACATTCTAACATCTCATTTAATCTTCATAACCCTCTTAGTTAACATTTTAATCCCCATTTTACAGATGAGGAAATTGACTGCTAAAAAATTTAGGTAATGTGCCCAAGGTCACACACCTGATGGTGGAGTTGAAATTTGAACTCAGACCGTCTAAGTCCAAATCTTATGCTCTTATTCACAATGTCATACTGCCTCTTTCAAGTATTGTGCTTCAGATAATTTTATATATATATTCAGTTGAAATATATATATATATAACTGAATACACACACATATTCAGCTACATATATACTCAGTTGTATATATATGTATATATATACACACACACACATACATATAATATATGGGGGATATATTAGAGTTACTGTAACTAGTCATCTAAAATCAGATTAAAGCCTTGGTAGAACTCCAAACTTTACCGAGATCTAATCTAAATAAATCGGCCTTAAAGAGAGACTGCATTGTCCTACATCTCAGATTTATTCTCATGAAATCGGCAGGCACTTGAGAGACCAGAGTTTAAAGTGAGTGCAGTTCTCTAAAGAAGGCATAGAGTTAGCTGTGGCTACTCTATTAGAGAAACGCAATGTCCAGTACTAAAAATGACCACATAATCCACTCTTTCCCCACAGGAGTGGCTCAAGTGTTAAATAGACTTGATGGGAAACCTTTTGATGATGCGGATCAACGACTTTTTGAGGTAAGAAAATAAGTTAATAAACCAAGGTTTATATGGAGTCATCAGTAGTCCCCTGGTTGCAGCCTGCCCAAATTCGAAATGACAAACAATTATTAATCAATTATTATTATACTTAAATGGAGGGCAAAATTTACAGGAAGATTTAAGGAATATGTAAATGCTTAAGTGAGATTTGATCCTATGTTTTACGAACTGGATTATTTTGTAACCATCCATTATTTTTATCCTAATTTTGTTACAGAATTACCCTCTCTTTCCCCCAAAGTGTTATTTTCTTATTTTTGTCTTGCTTGTGTGTATTCAGAGTCATGAAACCCTGAGCCAGCTCTGCCAGGTGTACTGTCCTCACATTTCTCTTGTTTACGTGCTTCCATTAATTCACTCCAGGCGCTCTAGCTGGAGAAGTTAGCCTTGAATGGGCTTCCTCATAGACTGTACCAGTAGCCAACATGAAGACCCATGATTATCTTTCTTTAGTCAAGAATACCTCATAGCTTCTTTATTAATGGTTCTAACTCAATCCTCCTTCCCCTTAACACTTACCTTATGGTTACATTAACTTGGTTTCTTTACCAAAGTATTTTATAGCCTAGCGACTAAAAGAGGTTGCTTTGGTTAAATAGAATAGATTAACTAAAATCAGTCCACAACCTAAATAAATTAAGAACCCATTTAAACAGACTGTATGTTTTTAAACATATGAAGTAGTTTCTCTACAATAACATTAAATTCATAATTTTTCCTCATGTGCGGTGTGAGCTATAAAGTTGTCATATAACAATAGTAATTAAGAATTTTAATGTGCCTATTTTCCCAAGGCCTACCTCTGTGTACAGTAAGATTGTATTTTCAGACCCATCCCTGGTGACTGCCTGCTTTCATATGAGATTTTGCCAATGAGTTGCTGCAATGTTTAATTAGCAGGTCGCTCTTTCCTAGGCTTTTGTCATCTTTTGTGGACTTGGCATCAACAACACAATTATGTATGATCAAGTGAAGAAGTCCTGGGCCAAGCAGTCTGTGGCTCTTGATGTAAGTACAGTATTTATGTCAGGTTTGTATGCTGTCAGCTCTAATTTTATGAGAGAAAAAATTTCCCTGGTTATGGGGTTTAATCTCTCAAATTTTAATTATCTATTCATTGGGCCTTAATCATTTTAGGTTGTGGGTTTAAATCTCATGAAGTCCGGAGAAACACAATGTTGCGTATAATTTCAGGGGTTCACAGATGCCCTGAAGCTCATTCATATAAGTACTGTGTTTACATGTAGATTTTTAAAATTACATTTATTAAATAGTGACAATCCAAAGATAATTTGGCAGGATTTCAAATTTATTTTAAACTTAGATTTGAATATATATAGATAATCTATAAAGTCACAACTTTTCTTATCATAGGAGAAAACTTCACTATGAGGATATATGACCTAGATAGGGAAAACTACTCCTGTCATTATCTGATTCCCTTTCTTCCTCCCTCCCCCAACACATGTCCCATCAAGAACCTCGACCTGTTCCCTTGTCTGCACACATGTCCTCTGAGACACTAACTTCCAAAAGAGCAGTTGTAATCTCCCCCTGAATCTCAGATGCTTGTTTTGACTTAAGACTTATTTTTAATCTAGCTTCTGCTCTATAGACTTTTTTTTTTTTTTGAGTCTCACTCTGTTGCCCAGGCTGGAGTATGGTGGTGCCATCTCGGCTCACTGTAACCTCCATATCCTGGGTTCAAGCAATTCTCCTGCCTCAGCCTCCTGAGTAGCTGGGATTACAGGCATGCACCACCATGCCCAGCTGATTTTTGTATTTTTAGCAGAGATGGGGTTTTACTGTGTTGTCCAGGCTGGTCTCGACCTCCTGACCTCAGGTGACCTGCCCGCCTTGACCACCCAAAGTGCTGGGATTACAGGCATGAGCCACCACACCTGGCCTGCTCTGTAGATTTTGCCAAATATTTTCTTTACATCTATGAAATACTTACTAAGTAGGCAACATAAAATGTCAGTGCCAAGATGAAAGTATATAGAAGAGTATGATATAATACACATGAAATCTTCAAAGTATTCTTTGTCAAGCCAGATATAAGAAGTAGGCAAACTGATGTTACCTGCACTGCTCTGATTTGAGATGTAAAAGATGTAAAATTATAGTTACTCTCTATATGCTTTTAATTTTATGGCTAAATCATGAATTCTAGAAGCACGGGGATTTTTATTTGCAATGCCTAGCAGGGTGCTTAGCACAAAGGTGGGATTTATTGAATAATTTTTTAATGGAGGGTGGGAGGGAAAGAAGGAGGAAGGAAAGAATCCCTTACCTTGGTAAGGGATGCTTTTTGTTCTTCTGAGACAGCCCTGCTTTGTTTAATATGTAATATCTTTTTATAGTAAGGACTAAAAACAGTATAGGATGAATCAATAAATGAGTGAACTGTAAATATGCAACCAACCGATGAGAATCATTAGTAGAGCATTAAGGGTTGTGTGCAGAACTCTTTTCAAATCCTGGATCTGTCACTCACCTCAATTGTGAGAATTAAATGAGATGAAGCATGTGAAGATGTTAATAAGTATTCAACAAAATCATAGCAATAATACTATTATTATTTGCAGTAGTATATTTATTACTGAGAAATCACTATGGACTGGGGGGAAATAGCAAAGGACAGGAATTTAGAACAGCAAATGTTGAGTTATACCTCCTTCACCATCATCAAATTCTCATCTCCACAGTGTTGTTTCACCCATTGTTTTTCAGTACCTGCAGCTATAAAAAGAAGGACACACCATACACTAGTCCCATCTAAATCCTACTTCATTATGTCACAGTATAATTAACACACAAAGAGAAAACATCCTACATATGCCCATATTCTCACTCCTCACCTACCTCTGACACATCATCATCCTCTTGAGAAGGAGCTAGAATAACTGGGTTCCAGCATGAATAGCCATTTACCCCCAGATGGGAAGATTCAGTAAAAGATACCACTCTTACTGGCACTACCCCTACCCCAATGAACCACAGTTACCATTACCTAGAAAACACTCATGTACCCTAGAATTTCTGGCCACAGTCTCCTTACCAATGAATTGCTTATTTCAGTTCATGGTGAACACCTCTTGTTTATATAACTCAGATCCCTCCATCCTTAGACACAAAAATTATTACCGACTCTGACAAATCTCAGCCCAACTCTTAACCTTGCCACAATCTTAAACTTTCAAGAAGTTGACTTACAGGTGTTGACTTGTATGTTCCACATGCTTTATTTTGTGCCAGTGTCGAAAGTGGCATTCCCAGTCAGAATTATGGCATTGCCATCTCGCTCTCGCCGCTTCCACTCTCAGCCAACTTCCACCCCACCGAGTATGAAATTCTTGACACTAGTGATCAGGTGGCATCCACCCCACTCCCTGGCCTGGGAATCCATATACAAGAGTATCTGGAAGGATTTCTTACCCTGAGGACTTTATAAAGACAAAAAGTGATTTTTTGAGAGCCACTAAACCCAAACTCAGGAATGAGATATACATATATTATAATATACATCAACTTCTGAATAAATATATATTTTTAAATGTATGTATTTATACATATTATATATGAATATGTGTAAGTGTAATATTTTTCTAAATATTTCTGTTAAAAGTATGTATTTATAACTTGCTTAGTCCCATAAAGGATTTGAGCTACTTTATGAGAATATAAATGATCCAACAAATTTTTTAAAAAATAAAATAGTAATAACAGAACTGAGAAAGAGAGAAAGCCAGGAGAAACAGAACCAAATGCCATGTTATCCTTCTATCGTTTCTATCCCTTCTTTCTGAGATCCTGGGCTAGCCCTTTGCCCTTTTCCATTGTGGCTAAGGAAAGATTCCCCACTCAGGTGTGCCCAGGTTCCTCTTCTCCTTGTGTGGTTTCATTTTTGCTTATTCTCTTCCATTATTGTCCTCCTTGACCTTGACCCCAAAACAGCTGTGTCTAAATGTAGCTCTTTCAGGCCCATAACCTTATTGCAGTGTCTTTTTTTTTTTTTTTTTTTTCAGTTAGCAACAAGAGTGGAGGGAAATAATCCATTCCACAGCACTCAGTGACAAAACCACCCTAGAATCTTTTCCTTCCTTAAAAAGGGAGCACAAGTAGTTCATGGCCTAGAGAGTTAATGGGAATACACGTCTTGCTGTGTTGTTCATGAGACTCAAGAAACAGCACCACACTGTTCTCTTCTGTCTTTTAAAAATCCTATCCCCAAAGCATTTTTTCATAAAAATACTTCCATCCGTGGTACATCCTCTGAAAGTAAATATTCTCCAGATAAATTCCCTGAAAGACTAATAATCCCCACAAATGGGGCAGAGTCTCTAAAACACTCAGAGCTCACTGGAAGTACACTTAAAAAAAAAGATAGGGCTTTGCCTTTATTTTTTTTTCTCCCAGTCACTGATTTCTATGTATTTATTTAATACTGGCTCCTTTTCCTAATGATTTTGTTACCGGGAAGTACAGGAATCCTCAGTTCATGTCTTACTTGGGAGAAAGAATTCAGCCAAGAGACAAATCAGTACTGTAAGCAAAAGATCTATTGAAAGAAAATAAAGAGTATAGAGTTTATTGAGGGAAGGACACTCCAAGAGAGGAGCAGGCTGGTCCAGCTGGAGAAACAGGAGTAGCAGCAGCAAGGGTTAGGTAGTAGCAGAGACAGTGCGTGCTGAAAGATGAGGCAGAGCAGGCTATTTAAAGGGGAATGAGCCAGCAGCAGCCCCAAGAGTTCTGCATTGTGGTTATTATGGCAGACTGTTTCTTCAAGCTTCTGCTTCTGCCTCAAGTCTCCACCTTTGTCTTTGTCTAGTTCCCACTTCTGCCTTACGTTCCCACTTTTTCCCCCACCTAGTTTCCACTCCAGATTTGTGGGATTCCCCCTTACTGTTAGTTCACATGTATGTGCAGGCCAGTGTTGGATACGAATTCTATATAATGCCTGCATTACTCATTATCACCACCTGAGGAAGGTTGGAAAGTGGTTAAATCTGTACTTATTCCACCTGTGTATCTCTTAGGAATTTCTCCTTTTTCCCTATTTCCCCCCTTAACAGCATGTAGCTAGCTACATTCTGACAGGTTAATTGCAGAGTGAGTGATTACTGGGAGTCTTAAGGGGCATCTCTTTCTGCATAGGTATTTCCCTTCCTCTCTGCTTATAGTTAGGATGCATGTTTTGGGTGGTCTCTGGGTTATGAGATTTTTCCAAACCTCCCTTTTCTTAGGGCACTCCCCCTCCTTCTCGTATCTAGCTTATCGGCCTGCTCAAACAAGTTGAAATACCACATTAAATTATATAAATTCATATATATTTTTTTTTCAAGTATATTTATTTACATGTTATTTTGTCCCATTGATCTACCTATTTCTAAACCAGAACTTCATTGCTTTAAGTACACTTTAATGCAGATCTTGCTTTGTGTCGGTATCCCCTGCAGAAGGAGGTTGCTGACTTTATCCATGCAAAAGGCAGTGTAGGGAGAAGATTTAAAGTGTTGATTTTAGTATTAGCCTGATTAGTTAGTTAGATTTGAATTCTGGCTCAGTAGCTATTGACCTTGGGCAAGCGACTTAACCTCTCAATCTTGTTTTATTCACATGTTAAATGGGTATAAGAAGTCTGTTTTCCCCATAAATATATACATCTACTATATACCTACAAAAATTAAAAATTAAAAAAAAATTCAAGCCTGTTTTAACAGTTACAAAAAAAAAATACAGGGAAAGTGTTTAGAAAGAGTGTTTAGTTATAATTAGCACTTAATAAAAGTTAGTTGTTCTTACCACCCAGTGCATTTGGAGTCCTTAATCCTCACTGAGTTTTGTCTACTTAGCCCAAGATTTCTTGTAAGAGTATGCTGACTGGGGAGCTATAGTTTTTTTCACCTGTTTTATCAGGAAAATCACTTCCTGCTTAAAGTCAGAGCTAAAAACAGATTGCCTCTTTCCTAGGTCTTTGATACATGCTGTTTAGTCACACCACTGAA